GGGGGGGGGCACAGCCGAGACCGCCTGCCCGAACGCCTCCCCTCACACACCTTCGCCGAGCCTGAGGGGCGCGGCGAGCTGTGGGGAGGGGGGAAGGTGGAGTGGGATGGGGTGTCTCCTTTTCGCGCCCTCGCCCTCCCCCCCCACCGGGCGCGCGCGCGCGCGCGCTCTCGAGCGAGTCGGGGTGGTGGGGTGGCGCAACTTGTGAGGCGCGCGGGGCGAAACGCCGGGAGAAGGTAGGGGTGGGGGTGGAGAGGCGACCGAAGGGACGGCACGGACGCCCGCCCGGCGCCCAGCGGTCCCTGCAGCCCCAGTCCCAGCCCCAACCCCAGCCGGCCGCTCGTCGTGTTGTCGCTCCTCCGGCGGACGAAGCGGTTTTGCTGGTGAGGGGGGGATGGGGGGGGGAGAGAGGGAAAAAGGAGGGAGAATGAAAGAAAGGAGAAAGAGAGAGAGTCCGCTTGGAAATAAATTACTTCACCCGCACCCCCCCCCCCCATGCATATATACACTGGCACCCGCGCGCGCTCTCGGGGACGGGAGGCCGAGGGGGAAGAACGGCCCCGCCCTTTCCCCCCTCTTTTATTGTCTTTCCCCCCCTCTTTTATTGTGGAGGAAGAAGAAAGAGGAGGAAGAGGAGGAAGCTGAGGAGGAGGGAGAGGAAGAAGAGAAGAGGAAGGAGGAGGAAGAAGACAATGGGGAAGAAGGAGGAAGAGGTGGAAGAAGGAGGGAGAGGAAGAAGAGGAGGAAGAAGACAATGGGGAAGAAGGAGGAAGAGAAAGAAAAAGGAGGAAGAGGAAGGAGAAAGAGGAAGAAGAGGTGGGGGAAGGAGGAAGAAGAGGAAGGAGGGAGAGAAAGAAGAGGAAGGAGGAAGAGGAAGAAGGGGTGAATAAGAAGAGGAAGGGGGAAGAGGGGGAGGGAGAGGGTAGAGGAAGAAAGAGGTGGAAGAAGACAATGGGGAAGGAGGAAGAGGAAGAAAGGAGAAGGAAGGGGAGGAAGAGGAGGAAGAGGAAGGAGGAGGAGGAGGGAGCAAGTGGAGGGAAAGAAAAGAGAAGGAAGACATGGAGAAAGGAAGGAGAATGAAAAGGAAGGAGTGAAAAGAAAGAAAAAGAAAAGAAGGAAGGAAGAAAGGATGGACGGACATCTAGTCAATAATAAGATTATATTCAGATTCTGCTCGTTTCTCAATCGCCACATGTTCAGTTCATACTACCAGAATGAGGCCTTATTTATTCACATGGGCACTTTTCAAAATCAAGTGGTGCAAAGTGTTCACTGAAACCTAGGACAATTTTTTCACTAATGGTAAATGTAGGGAACCTGCTGGAGGACCGCCATCATCTGATGAGGCTACAATCTTGGTCGTCTCATGATAAGAACGATGTTGAACTGGACGTAGCGAGCCAGGACATCATAATAGAGAGAGGATTTTGAGACAGGGTAGGTTCAGGAGGCGTGGTAGAAGACTCCTAGAAGGAAGAGTTCCAGAAAGAGTCACAGGAGCATTTTGATGAACTGTTGGAAGGGGGAGCACCAGCTGATTCAACATTTCAGTATAATAGAATAACAGAGTTGGAAGCAACCTTGGAGGTCTTCTAGACCAGTGGTCACCAACCGGTGGTCCGTGGCCCACTGGTGGTCCACAAGAAAATTTTGGTGGTCCACAGAGAAATGTCACCCCCCAAACACCCCCCAAAGCAATTAATCCAGGCTTCGTGGGAACACAAGGCTGCACTGCCCACGTGGTCGGCGGGAACCCTTCCTGCCCACTCACTCTTTACCTGGCAAACTTGCCTGCTAAGTTGCTATTTTTCCTTTCTTCCCCCCTACGACCATCAGCTGTTCTGCTGTGCCAGGAGATTTAGATTGGCTAGAAAGCAAGAAACCACTGGATTTCTTGCTTTCTAGCTAATCTTTAGATCTTTGGCTCTGCTTTTTTTTAAAATTTTTATTTGTTTTTAAAACAACCATAAACAAACAAAACACAAGAACATCAAGGCATCTTCCATATATATACATACAGTGTGCCGGTTGGTTTACAAGTTGTTTTGTGCTTCCATTTTGTAGTCTTCAATTACAATTACATTGTATATATTCTCGTATTTTCAATCAAGTTTAAATAGATTAATATCATTATTAATCAATCATATGACTATATTTTTATTCATTCATGTTTTACAAACTAATCATATTTTACTTAATTTGTTTTATGACAGTTCATATTATCATCTCAAATCTACCCTAGAATCATTTTGTAGATATAATAAGAAAAGAATACATCTTTTTATATTATTTTCTAAAAAATCTACATAATTCATTACTATGTTTTATTGTCTAACCATAGATAGAATAGATCCCAATTCATTACTATGTTTTATTGTCTAACCATTGATAGAATAGATCCCAATTCATTACTATGTTTTATTGTCTAACCATTGATAGAATAGATCCCAATTCATTACTATGTTTTATTGTCTAACCATTGATAGAATAGATCCCAAATTTTATAGTTTATCATCTTGTTCTCTGATTTCAAATGTCAATCTACTCATTTCAGCACATTCCAATATTTTCTTAATGATTTCCTCCTATGATGGTATTTTCTCATTTTTCCAATTTTTAGCAAATACAATCCTAGCCGCTGTTAATACATTTACAATCAGGTATTTCAGTTCTTTACTATATATTTCAGGTAAAATTCCCAATAAAAAATATCTCTGGTTTCAAATCTATATGCTTTTTTGTCATTTTTTCCAACCACGTGTGGATTTTAGTCCAATATTTTTTAGCATCCGTACACGTCCACCACATATGGTAATATGAGCCAGGTGTCTGATGACATTTCCAATATTTTTCAGATTTATTCTTGAACATTCTTGCTATTCTTGTCGGAGGGAAAATGCCACCTGTAAAACATCTTATACAAATTTTCTTTATGTGCTGTTGACATTGTCATTTTATAATTTTGAGACCACAATTTTTGCCATTTCTCTAGATCAATCCCATATCCAAAATTCTTCCCCCAAGCAATCATACTTTCTTTAACTTGTTCTTCTTCTAGTTTAATTTCTAATAAATATCCAAACAATTTTTTAATCACCTTTTCATCAGTACCTGTTAAAATCTTATCTAAGTCAATCTTTGGCTTTGCTTTTAAGCACAGCTGAACCTCCCTTAGGACAACTGAAGGTTCTATTATTCAGTGCAGACTCATGGCAAGCAAATTTTATGTGACAGACTGAGCTAGCCAATGGCTGATAGATAGATCTCTGAATGAATATGTGATTCTGTGAGCAATTCAATCTGCCTGCCTGCTTTGCCTGATTTTGGGTAAAAGTTGCACCTTTTTTATAAAAAATTCAATGCTTACATACTGAGATAATTTTGTGAGTTTGCTTGCTAGCAAATTTTATGTGACAGACTGAGCTAACCGATGGCAGACAGATAGATCTCTGAATGAATCTGTGAACAACTCTATCTGCCTGCCTACTTTGCCTGATTTTGGATAAAAGTTGCTCTTTTTTTAAATAAAAAATTCAATATTTACATAAATATTTATAATATTTAGATACAAGCCACGCCAAGCCACTCACATGACCAAGTCACACCCACAAATTAGGCCATGCCCATAGAACCAGTTAAGAAATTTGAATCCCACCCTGCCTCTGTGTATTTATGTATGTGTGTGTATGGGTGGGAGGGGTAGAGAGATTAAATCATCTCTCTCTCTCTCTCTCTCCCACCAACATCAGCAAGCCACCGTCAGTCAAAATTCATATTAGTGGTCCCTGGGATTTAAAATAATGAGTTTGGTGGTCCCTGAGGTCCCAAAGGTTGGTGACCCCTGTTCTAGTCCAGCCTTCTGCTCAAGCAGAAGACCCTATACCATTCCAGACAATCTCTTCTGAAAATCTCCAGTGTTGGAGCACACACAACTTTTGGAGACAAGCCATTGTACCGATTGTTCTGTCAGGAAATTTCTCCTTAGTTCTAGGTTGCTTCTCTCCTTGATCAGTTTCCATCCGTTAGAGACCGCTGACCCAGGGGGTTGTCTCTGGTTTTCTCCTCGCCACAGCTAAGTTCTCCTTTTTCTCTCAGAGGTGAAAGAATATAGTGATGTACAGCTTCCCCTTTGCTGGATCTTCTCTTCCCCTCCCTCACACAGTTGGCAGGCTGCGGTCCCTGGCCCAGCTCCTGTACATGTGATGTGCCTTCGACACCCCAGGCCCAGGGGAACGCCCGGCCATCTGTTTTACCTGGAGGTGCGGCCAAATCAGTTCCAAAATCGTTGCTCACCTGCTGCAAGTTTGCTGAGATCTTTCACAGGTTTTCCCTGCTGAGTTAATTGGAGGTTTTTAAATTAAAACACACACACACACACACACACACAATTATTTTTGACAGGACTGGATGAGGTGGTGAAAAGGCACAGTTCGACTCTCTCCCGCGGTGAAGGCAAATCGGGCATCCGGGGGATAAAGTTCTCGTTTGAGGACCTATTCCAGAAAGCCTAATGGAAGCTCTTGGAAAGCTTGTGATTCAAGCTGGCTCGGTTTCCACGAATGCAACCAAAAAAATGCCCTTTTTTTAAAAAGGAAATTTTTGTTTCATGGATTTCAGCGCTCGCAAACACAACAGACTAATAACACGTTCACGACTGCCAAATACAGGCGCTGACAAATGTTAGGTGGCTTTGCCAATACAATCCCATTTTAAACATTGCCCCACTTCACTTTCCTGGATGCATCCAAGGTATTCCAAGGAAGGGAATGAGAGTAATAAAAAGATGCTATCGTTGAGGAAGTTAATATTCCCCAGGATTAATGCTCTGTGAGTCTCTTTAAGCATACCTAAAACTTGGCGCTCTTAAAGGAATATGCAAT